TCCTCCTCCTCCTCCTCCTCCTCCTCCTCCTCCTCCTCCTCCTCCTCGTACCAATTGGTATCGATTTTTTGCTCGTACTGAGGCCCAAAAATCGATTATCACACCTAACTAAGTTAGGCCAATCAATACACAGTAGACTTGACCGCCTGGGGGGCCACTTTGACCACTTTAAACCTCATATGTGATCGCCCTCTTCTCTACCAAAAAAGAATTTAAAAAACGCTTTCCTTTTTTCCGTTTCTGCCGGATGATTAATTAATGTGCATACTTGGGTAAGGAATCACCATTTATTTAACCCTCTTCCGCCCCTCGAAGAGCTATAACAGTCAGCAGTGGCGGTAGCGGCACCACTTCAGTGGTTATGACTAATTCGCCTTGAAGAGAAGCGCTACGTGTTTAAAATAGGGATAAAAAGCGGATGGAGTTTGAAAGAAATGTACTGCCCCTGGCCTTTGTTAATGTCAACTTTAAAAGTCATTTCGCCCTAAACCTCCCATCAGAGACCTTAAATACGCATATATACATAACACGTGCTGGAGTCGCTAGGGCTGCACGTGAGTTAGAGGCAAAGCCGACACACACACACACACACACACGCACACATACAATAAATGAAACAAAAAAAGGTGAAAGCGCCTCACTTTCTCTCTCAACCACACAAATCGCCGCATCGCAACGCGGCACATCGCGTGCGCGCGCACGCACACACCCTCGCACGCGCCGCTTGGTTCTAAAACGAGCTGGCGACCTTGAGGCTTGTACGATCAACTTTTTACGATCAACGGCCTTAACGATCAGTCGGGCTTCAAGGTCGCGTTGCTCGAGGTCTCCGTGTCACTCTCGCCGCGAGCAATGCGGTTAGGCATGGAGGTGAGGTCATTTAAGAGGCAAAATTTAGTGGATTCGGGAGGAAGGAGAGGTAAAAAAAAATATTTTTTTGTCCTCTTTTAAAATATGCCTTAAAGAGCTTCAGTTATATGCTACACATGGTCATTAGTCTGCTCAAACGCGGCGGTTGACCATTAGGGGATGTGGGCTGTGAAAATGAGAAAAGAATATGCATTTGTCGATTACAAAGAGAGGTGAGAAGATATTGACTTTTTTTAAAATAAAAAAATTGCTTCTCAGATGAAAAAAAAACTTCAGAATAGTCCGAATAAAACTTGAGAATGCGCCTCACGAGATGCTGTGGATATGCCAGGAGTACAGAATTTCCCTCACTCATCGTGCGTTTCACAAGCAGAGAAATTTGCCCGACTCGTGGAGTCGTCGTCTATGAGGGGATTAGGAAGTAAGGAAATGATCGCATCGGAGTGAGTGTCCAAAGGAGTGACGAATGCGGACAGACGGTGGAGCCAGCTAAGGGAGTCGCCTCTACCACTGACACAAACAAATTAAAGAATATCGGAACTGACTGTCTGCAAATTACATTACTGTGAAACCACCTCCAAACCTCTGCATTGAGGATGGGCCAAGAGAAGGGAATTTAGAAAATAGGTAAGAAAATTTCCTACATTTTGAAGGACTCTTCCGAAACCAAATAAGGCTTGACAGCATTAAGTTCGGTTAAAACCGCC